AAAATATTATATTTTTTATTTTTACTTTTTATGCGTGTGAGTATATTCCCTGCATATTTGTAAGTGCCCTTGTGTCCTGCAGTGCCCCGGGAGGTCAGAAGAGGGCCTCGGATCATGTGGGGACTGGGAACAGAACTCCAATTGCCTTGTAAGAGCAGCCAGTGCTCTTAACCACTGAGCCATCTCTCCAAAAAAAAAAAAAATATTATATTTTTTATTTTTACTTTTTATGCGTGTGAGTATATTCCCTGCATATTTGTAAGTGCCCTTGTGTCCTGCAGTGCCCCGGGAGGTCAGAAGAGGGCCTCGGATCATGTGGGGACTGGGAACAGAACTCCAATTGCCTTGTAAGAGCAGCCAGTGCTCTTAACCACTGAGCCATCTCTCCAACCCGAATGGTATGGTTTTTATAAAAGCCATTTCCAAGGCCGGGTGTGGTGGTGCATGCCTTTAATCACAGTACTTGGGAGGCAGAGGCAGGCAGATCTCTGTGAATTCAAAGGCAGCCAGGTCTACAGAGTGAGTTCCAGGCCAGCTGGGCTACAGGGTCTCAAAAAGATTAAAAAAAAAAGCCATTTTCAGTGGTCTGAGCTGATACATTTTTCAAATTTATTGGGCTGCAATATTATTTCTTAGTTCTTAAATTTACTTTAAAGCATTTAAAGTAGGGGCTGGAGAGATGGCTCAGTGATTAAGAGCACTCACTGACTGCTCTTACAGAAGACCTTGGTTCAAGTCCCAGAACCAACACGGCAGCAGCTCATAACCATCTGAAACCCTAGTTCCAGGGAATCCAACACCTTCTTCTGTCCTCCATGGCATTGCATGACATGGGTGCACTTACACACATGCAGGTATAGCACTTATACACATAAATTAAAAATAAATAAATATAGAGATGGCTCAGTGGTTAAGAACACTGACTGCTCTTGCAGAAGACCTAGATTCAATTCCCAGCACCTACATGGCGGCTACGAACCATCCTTAACTCCAGTCCCAGGGGAATCCAAAGCCCTCTTCTGACCTCCGCATGCATTGCACGACAAGGGTGCACTCACATACATGCAAGTGATACACTCATACACATAAAATAAAAATAATAAAATATTAAAAAAATAAATAAATCGAAAAACAAAATACCATTTATATTACACTTTCCTGAAGTTCTCCCTAAATGCTAAGTTAACCAAAACAACCTAGATGTTTATTAATAATTATTGTTAGGGTCAAAAAGTGCTATACTTTGGTTCTTAAGATATAAAGAGCTAGATGGGCACGGTGGCACATGCCCTTTATCTCAGCACTCAGGAGACAGAGGCAGGAGAACCTCTGTGAGTTCAAGGCCAGCCTGGTCTACATAGTGAGTTCCAGGCCAAATGGGGCTACAGGGAGACCCTATCTCAAAGACAAAGAAAAAAAAAAAGATATAAAGAACCATGAGCCAAAACACAAGTGGCTCCTAGAGGTTGGAAAAGGTAAAGAAAATGATTCTTCCCTAGAATCTTAAGAATGAACACATTATTTTTTAGGATTTCCAACCTCCAGAATTTAAGAAGATAAGAAATTGGTATTGTTTTAGGCCACTAACTTGGCGATCATTGTTACAGCAACAATAAAACACTAATATACCAGGAGTTCAAACCAGAAATAATGCAACTTAATGTGTAATCGTTAAGCAATGTTGGCAATATAAAGAAAAAAAAGAGAGCTGTGGCTGTCAAGGGACACACAGTCTGTTATGAGAGCCATACGTCAAAAAATAATTGCAATGTAATGGTGTGTTACAAAAGAAGTATGTTCAAAATACCACAGAGTACAAGAAGGAAGAGTGATGCCTTGCTTGGGAGGATCACAAAGTCCAGGTGTACCCAAGTCCTGAAGCGCACACAAAGGTGCAGCAGGAGGGAAATGGCAAGCGAGAAGGTTGTAGACAGAAATGGTGACCTGTTCAAGTCCATGAAATATAGTAAGTCTGCCTTGGTTGAAGTCAGGGAAAGCGCAAAGCAAAAGGAGAGGGAATAGTGTAAAAGACGCTGGGAAGGTTATCCAGTACCCGACTGGATAAAATCTAGTCTGAGAAAGCTTTCTACGTAGTAATGACAAGTTCAGGGTATTTTTGGAATCAATATGAAGGGCAAATTAGGGAAATGATGTTGGCAAGGAGGAACCTAGTTAAGAAGTAAGAAACTGGGCAAGGGGGAAGGCTGGTAGTGAGGGCAGAGGTGAGAAGATGGAGTCAAGACACAACCCAAAACTTGGTGTGGGGCTGCTATGGGTGTGAAGGAGCAAGTTTTCTCTGCATTGTAACCTGGATTATATACTGACTCCTCTGCCTGGACTAGGGAATGTGGGCAGTCTAAGACTGTATGGCAACTGATGACCTGGAGAGAAGGAAGGAAACTCAAGTCAGAATCCTGGAAATGGCCAACATCAGAGCAAGTAAAACTCTACAATCAGTGGCCCAGGGACCGCGGCTCTGAGGTAGTAAACAAAACACTGTGTTGATATGTGGTTTCATAAATCTTGATTTTTTTTCTTTTTTCCTCACAGTACTTAACTTGTCATACAGTTGAGTATAATTTTTCTTGGGTTAATATTCAAATTAACTTTTATTATCTCTTATAATTTAGGAAAATACATTGCATAGGTGTTGTCTTGGGTTGAATACTTTCTGGATTCTTTTAGTGATTTTGGGTGGTTTAGGAAATTTATAGTCTACTTTTCTCTTTTCCCATTTAATTAACAGCTTGACCCATTTCCAATTATAAATAACAATAAACATTAATTTCAAATCAATAAAAAAACTTTCAAAAATTTCAAAAAAAATTCCTATTTTATTTTCAAGTTTACCTCTCAAAGTGTAACTTCCTCAGAGTAAAAAAAGCAAATTGGCCGGGCATGGTGGCACACACCTTTAATCCCAGCACTTGGGAGGCAGAGATTGGTGGATCTCTGTGAGTTCAAGGCCAGCCTGGTCTACATAGTAAATTCCAGGACAGCTGGGGCTACAGAGAGACCCTGTCTCAGAAAGACCAAAAAAAAAAGCAAGCTGATCTTTTATGCTGGGAATCCCAACCCTGGAAGGTGGAGGCAGGAAGGTCAGGAATTCAAGGCCAAACCTGACTACATTGCAAGTTCAAGGCCAGATTTGACTACAGGAGACCCTGTCTCAAAAACCACCCAACCAGCCAAACAAACAAAAAATTGATATTTTAAAATAAAATATGCTTCAGCAAATAATACTACTCCTACCTTCATTCTAAGTGCATTTACTTTGGGACTATAAATCTTAAGTTCTCTCATTTTGCAAAAAGCTATTACCTTGCTAAATTACACACACACACACACACACACACACACACACACACACACAAATACACATGAACACACCTATGCACATCTGACTGTTAAGTGAGAATGATGCAAAGTTTTACCTCTGTCCACTTGGGACTCCAGATGATCCACTGCAGTCATAGACAGAGCAAGCCGTAGTTCACTGGACACAATTGTGAGGGCCCAAGGCGAGGCGCTTAAAATATCTGTCATCAACAGAAAGGGGATGTCTGCATAGACCCTTTCCAGGTGTTCAAACTGCCATCAAGGAAGACAAAAGGTTGGTCAGCAATTATATTCATCCATTTTATTTTTTTCTTTTAATTTCTATAACTGACATGAGTCCCACCATGCATCACAGGAACATACCTTTGTGGAAACAAATTTAACTGCAACATCGAATGGAAATACAGTATCTATTGTTACAGTTTCATCCTACAAGAAAATTAAAGAGCACTGTCAATGGTTTTTTAAATCTTTTTAAGTAAATAAAGTTTTGAAATTAGACCACATACAAAACACAATCTAAAAGTGATCAATAAATAATCTCAAGTTATACATTAAGAAGCAAGGGTTTTCTTCCTAGATAATATTTATTTAAAAATATACATAGAGCCTGCTGTATAGACTTGTCCTCTGCCTGGCATGCTAGACTGGCAAGCAGTGGACAGATGACTTCTTCTCCAACTGGGATTTATCAGGTTGCTTCAGTCATCACAAACTAATTTGACTATATACGCTCCGTAGGACAGGAGGGGCAGAAGGATGCCCATGCATGCCCACACATTTGTAAGTAACTTCCACCCCCACCCTCTGCTCTGTTAGTAAGCCCAATAAAGTCTTTGGTTCCCCAAACTATAGTTTGGAGGAATATTATCTGGGTTTGTCATAAGGACGGTGGGAGGAGGGAGCCGGAAGCTGTGCACGCATCCCAGAAGTAAAATTTAGCTACAAGACCTAATAAGTTATTTGACTTTTGAACATTCACACAGCAAAGTGCTTTCTCCTACATTATTTAATCTCAGGATCTACTGAAGCAGGCAGGGCAGGCACCACCACTTTACAGAGGAGGAACCAGATGTTAAGAAAAATAAAGGGACTTGCCTAAGGTCACAAATCGAGACAGGCCTAGAGTCTGGGCTTTTTTACCTCACCTTGACTCATTGTGATTGAAAATAATAACAAGGCAATGTGGCAAGCACTGCTGTACTCACTATACACACACAGACACACACACAGACACACAGACACAGACACACACACACACTGCTATACTCAACATTCATAATCACCCAATTCTATAATGATTGCTATTTTAAGATGAAGAGGTCACATAGCTAGAGTATAAGTGACAAAGGCAGAAACTTCACCAAGTCTAACTGTGGAGCTCTACCCTAAGCCTCCCTGTTAGGAGACTGTGTGAGAAGCCATGGGATTATTAAATCTTTCAAAACAAATAAACCAGCTCTTGGTAAAGAACCTATAAAAAGTCATGTTGGGCTCCAGATATGACTCAATAGGCAAAGGCCCCTGGCTCTGCCTTCAAGCCTAATGACCTATGTTCAATCCCCAGAACCCAAATGGAGAAAGGAGGAACTGACCCCTGCAGCTGTTCTCTGACCTTCGCACCTCTCTCTCTCTCTCTCACACACACACACACACAAAATCAAAACACATTGGTTAAAAATTCAAGCTGTAATGTGAAAGCGATATGGATTCTAACCTAAGACACATGTTTATCATCTATATGATCATAGGCATAGCAATGTGGCTTTAGGAAAGTCACAAATAAACATCGATTTTTTAAGTCTCAGTTTTATCATTGTTAAAATAAGATAATGTGGCCAGGCGTGGTGGCACACACCTTTAATCCCAGCACTTGGGAGGCAGAGGCAGGTGGATCTTTGTGAGTTCGAGGCCAGCCTGGTCTACATAGTGAGTTCCAGGACAGCTGGGGCTACAAGGAGACCCTGTCTCAAAAAAAGACAACAACAACAAAAAGATAACATAAATAAAGTGATGAGACTGGTGGTGTATCTCTAATTCACATCTAAAAGACCTTTGGCTATGTGAAATTTTTGACAGTATATTACATGCCTCTTTCTTTCTCAATTAGGAAATACTATTTGCCTTTTTGAGAAATTTTTCTCTCCCAATAATTTATAAATATCTCATGGTCCACAACCTATACAAAAAGCAACCTATAATCCCAAATTGCTAGTTCTTTTCCTCTGCTGGGCTGAAGAGTCAACTCCTAAGAAAAGGATGAAACAACACGGCTGCCAAGACCAAGATACCAACTAAACAATACAAAGCAGAAAAACTTCGCATACGACACTTTATCAAGTAAGTTTGAAAAATACCTTGTGACACTTGCAAACAATTTCTTTTCCTTCAACAGTTGTATTGATCAGGTAAGAAACATATACAAGAAACATTCTGGAGCCCACTGTTCCACAGCGAATATATAATGTTTTTTCTAGCTGTAACAAAGTAAGTGTTACAATTTAATATTTCAGAGACTTCCTCCTAATATTTTAAGGTAACATTCTCAACTTTTGGAAATTTATGACTAAATATTTTATTTTATATAGGCAAAATTCTTTATATGGGCTGTCACAGTGTAACTGACATAACTACCCAAAGCTCTGCCACCAAGAACCCTGAGCACATTGCCATAGCCAGAGTGAGATAATCACTAGTCCATCTTTTATCTCCTTCAACTTCCCAAGGATTTTTTTTTATCTGATTTGAAAACAGAAGTTAACTGAGAGATTACTGTGCAGTTATAGATACCAGTTATTTTATCGGTGATAAGTAGCCGATCAGAAGACTGTTTTAAAAATTCCTTGCACAAAAATTGCTCAAGATATTTTATACATTTAAATATATATATAAATGTATGTGAGTTTAGTTAAATCACTTTTCAGTCCTAGGTTATGCTATTTTTAAAACTACAAACTAATTTCTTCTCCAATCACAGTTGACCAAGGTCACCTGTTCCCCTGGACGTAAGTCTCCAACAGGAATGTCTGTAAGTAAAGCTGGGTAGGACTCATCACATAGTTCTGTTCCCTGAAGAGTCACATGAGTTTTCTGAGTTAAGTTGGCATCCTGCCCTGTGAAGGATAATATATCGGTGTTTTAAGACTGCTATGATAACAATATTATATGAAGAACTCTATATTATACCATCTTTAAATACATACCCTATGATGGTGTTTACTTGTTATTATGCTGGTATAAAAGGAATTGTGGTTTCAGACTGTGCATTTTAAATCATTATAACTAGGCTCAACATGTCTTTATTACTCAGATTTGGAGCCATTATAGTCAACACATTTCTTTTTTTTTTTTTTTTGCCATTGAGAACAAGAAATGAGTTTTATTCTGTGCTTTGGGATTTGACAAATGATACTTTCTTCATTCTGCTGGCTATGAGATGCTTGAAGAAGTGTAGTCAGTTGACAAATCAGGTAAATGTGGTGGACAAGGAAAACGTCACAGCACAGTTCATTCAACTTTGGTCAGACGTTTTGAGGAATTGTGCCCTTTCTGTCGACCAATGCCAACTGCAAATGTTGCAGTTTTCAGTGAATCTCACTGATCTGCTGAACACATGTCTCAGATGTACTGGTTTTCCAAGATCGAGAAAGATATAATGGATCAGACCGGCAGCAGACCACCAAACAGTGACCATGATCTTTTACTGGTGCAAATTTGTCATTGGAAAGTGCTGTGGAGTATCTTCACAGCAGGTTGTGTAGCAAGTTGTCTATACAGTCCACTTTTGATATCATGTCACTATCTTATTGAAAAATCGTTCATTGTTGTATAGAAGAGGCAACAGTTCAAAATGATTTTTTTAAAATTTTTCAGTTAGCTCATGAGGCATCCATTTACGGAGCTTTTTCACCTTTTCAATTTGCTTCAAATGTCACCTAATGTTGAAGGTTCATATTGACTTCTTTGGCAATTTCATGTATAGTTGTAAAAGGATCAGCCTCAATGATTGCTGTCACTTGGTCAATGTCAACTTCTGATGACCCGCCACCATGCTCCTAATCTTCAAGACTCTTGTCTCCTTTTTAAAATTTCTTTAAAAATGTAAATTTATTTACTTTTATATGTAAGAGTGTTTTGTATGCATGTATTTAAGTACACCATGAGCATGAAATGTTCACAGAGGTCAGAAAAGGGCATCGAATTCCCTGGAATTGGAGTTACAGACAGCTGCCATATGGGTGCTGGGAACTGAACCCAGGTCCTGTGAAAGAGCATCCAGTACCCTTAACCCCTGAGCCATCACTTCTCTCCATCCCCCATTGTAAGATTTCTTGAACCATCATTGTACTGTATTTTTATTAGCAGTTCCTAGGCCAAATGTGCTGTCGATGTTGCAAGTTGTCTGATTAATTACTCATAATTACCCATTTTAAACTCTAATAAGAAAACCACTCAGTAGGAAGGCATGATGTCTCAGCAAGTAAAAGCACTTGCTGCTAAGCCTGATAACCTGAGTTCAATCTCTAGAACACAGTGCAAAGAACCAACTCTTGGAGTTGTCCTCTGACCTCCACACATACTGTGGCATGTGCAACCCTCCACACCCATAAATTAAAAAAAATAATAATAATATATATATAAAACAACAAATTTTTTAAAGACAATCAATCAAATTTGCTTTTTGTTTAACATCATTTCCATAATATAAAATAAACAGCAAGTAATAAGTCATTAGCAAAAAACAAGGTGAAAAATTCACATTAAAATGATGTATAATTAATCTCATTTATTACAAATAAATTCCAATATCAAACAGTAAATTTCAACAATGCAAAACCACAACTACTTTTACACCAGCCTACAGATTGATACTGATTAAAAATGAATGCTTACCTGGCTTTAAACCAGCAGTGAGTTTCACATCCCTGATATGGGTCTTTTCATGGGATTGAACAGTTACAATCAAACAATACATCTCATTCATCAGGGCAGGAGGCTCATGTCGCAGATGTACAGAAATGTTTGGGATTCTGGAGATGATCCTTTGAAAAGAAACTTAGCTAAGTAACCAATTTAAAGAAAGAAGTACACAAAGTATTTGAAGGAACTGAGAGGGTGATGTCAACAATCTGTTTTGCAAAGACCACTTACATTGTGCTTGCTTGGATTATGATGCTGTCCCAGTGAACCTCATTGTCAGGGAGCTTGGGCCGCCTTTTGAAGGACCTTGCAGCCTGAAGGGCTTCCTGGGAGGAAGCAGCATCTCCTCCCCCTCCCTGCCAGCTCAAAACCACACACCTGCCTGATTCGCTGCCCAGAACCAGATCCACAGAAGTAATCTGAAAAAAAGGAGGGGGGTCAGAAACGTCATCTCATACCTGCCTACTATCATCTCCTCTCAGCAAAACCACACTAAGGACTACCAGCACGTAAAGATCACCTAGATACACACAGTGGGCACTACACCTGCTGTTAGACTCTCACCCTTGATGGGACCTGACTCACTGCTCTAGAGCTCAATGTCTGCACCTTTAAAACACTGATCATACCCTGAACTTCCAGCTAAGAGCCTGGACAGTAGAGGTATGACACTACACGTGGCACAGTACTGATGTCACATCTGTGACATACTGATGCTCAACTAGTAGATGCTGAAGGAAATAGCAATAATAATAATAATGATAATAATAATGTGTTTGAAATCCTTCAGTTTATTTAGTGACTTTGGTTATTCAATCACTAAACACTGAGATTGGTTTTACGTAGTAACAGTAAGTAATATCTAATTATACTATAAAGTACAAAAGCTATAGAGTATTATGTACAGTATATGCCCTAATTTTACCCTCATGCTGGAGATTGAACTCAGGACCTTGTGCATGCTTGACAAGCATTCTAAAATTGCATTACACCCACAGGACCTTATTCTTTAAGAAAAAATTTTTAAATTTGATTGATTTTCTTATTTCATGTACATGAGTGTTATGCTTGCATGTTTGTAAGTGCACCCGTATTATGCTGTACCCATGGAGGACAGAGGAGGGTGTCAGATCCCCTGGAACTGGAGTTATGGATGGTTATGAGTTGTCATGTGGGTGCTGGGTCTAGAACCAAAGTCTTCTGCAAGAACAGTCAGTGCTTTTAAGCACTGAGCCACCTCTGCAGTCCCAGAAACAAAAATTTTAAGTACAAATATGATCTCAAAAAACATTTGGAAGGAAACTTACCAAACTAATATGAATGTATCATTTAAAATTTTTGACATAACAACCACTTTTGTTATTTAAGTAATTTGTAAACAAATTTCATAACTAACCTCAATTTTCTTTCCAACATCTTCAGTTTTTGCAACAAATTTAAATAACAATTTTCTTGTTTTACCAGGAACTAAGCACATCTTTCCTTGGGTCAAATTTTCTAAAACTTCACTTGCTTTGGATGCTTCTTCTATTACACAGAACTGGTTGTATTCCTTAAAAAGAAGTAAGCAAGGGTTACAATGTGCAAGCATCAAACATCAGCTGTTTTGCTAAAAGTAAACACCAAGGATTTGGAGCACATTCAGTTCTAGCTCAACTACCACTGAGGCATCATGAAGGGTTAATGTATAAAATGAATTGTTCTGGTGCTAAATTCAAGTGCTTATCTTCTCCCTGCTGCCACAGAAAAATAAAACAGCTCAGCACATACAACCTGATTTCTGAAACATTTACATCTCTCTTCTGCAGAAGGAGAAACAAAGATTTGTTTTTTGTTGCACTGAAAGCTGCCATATATCACCTCCTTTTCTTTTCATTATCTACTTATTTAAATATTTTATATTATTTTTATTTTATGTGTATTAGTATGTTGCCTATATATGTAAGTGCACTGGTTTCATGCAATGCCTGTGAAGGTCAAAAGAGGGCACTGGATTCCCTGGAACTGGAGTTACTGATGGTTGTTAGCTGCCACGTAGGTGCTGGGGCCTCTGCAAGAGCAGTCAGAGCTCTGAACCGCTGAGCCATCTGTCCAGCCCCGTACTGATTTATATTTTTAATATTTATTTATGTGTGCACATGTCTGTGTATGTATTCATGTGGGGGAGGGAGTACCCACAGAGGCCAGAAGAGGGCATCAGAGCCCTTGGAGCTGGAGTTACAGGTGGTTCTGAGCAGCTTGATGTGGGTGCCAGGAACTGAACTTGAATCCTCTGCAAAAGCATCAAGTGCTCTTAACCATTGAGCCATCTCTCTAGCCCCTCACCTCCTTTTCTTGCAGCTTTCTTTTTACGTGGTTTCAGAGACACCACCACCTCCTGCTTCTCATCCTTGGTTACTTCCTATCTTTTCCTCAAGAGGCCTTTGTTCTTTACCTTATCTCTTTAAATATTTTATTTATTATTTTATGTGTATGAGTGTATTGCCTGCATGTATGTGAGTGCACCCGTGTTGTGCAGTGCCACGGAGGTCAGAAGAGGGCTTCAGATTCCCGGAACTGGAGCTTATCTCTTTAAATATTTTATTTATTATTTTATGTGTATGAGTGTATTGCCTGCATGTATGTGAGTGCACCCGTGTTGTGCAGTGCCACGGAGGTCAGAAGAGGGCTTCAGATTCCCCTGGAACTGGAGTTAAGGACGGTTTGTAGCCACCACGTGGGTGCTGGGAATCGAACCCAGGTTCTCTGCAAGAGCTGTCAGTGCTCTTAACCACTGAGCCATGTCTCCAGCCCCTACCTTATCTTTTTAATGCAGAGGTCCTATAAGGTTGGGCCATTGGCTTTCTTCTGTTTGCTATTTATGTTCACTTCACTGGCAAGTTTACCTATTTTCTCCACCTTTGCACTACAGGTCCCCAACACAAAAATTATCCTGGTCTGGCCTATTTCCTTAACCTCAGGCTTATACGCATAGCTGTCTAGAGAATAAACCCACCATCACTTTAACTCAGCTTGTCCCATGCTGAAATGCTTCTACCTCCTCAGAAAAGCACACTCTTTACTTATATGTATTGAGTCACCATTCTCTTCTATTAGTAAGCATAAGGGCCTTCCAAGAGCAACCTTCTATGACAGCAGATGAATTACCTTCACAGAAAATTCTTATACAATCTTAAGATTCATAATAACCCCCCCTCCAATTTTCATTTCTGGTCAATGCTTATAAAACACACATTTTCCTTTTTACCTTATGATATGATCTTGAATTTCAAAGTGAGTATGGTCAGAATACAAATAAAAATTTAAAGTTAATATTCTATTCTACAATAGCATTCTTATATCAGTTTTTAATTATGAAAAGAGCTTATGCTTCTTTCTAAAAAAAAATAAACAGAATAGGAGGCTGTTAAAGAAAAGTAAAATAAGAGTACCTCTGTGGACCCTCAAATTTCACATTTGGAGTATTTCATGGTGAGGGGGAAAAAGAACAGTACACAAACAAACCAATCCTGTCCTGTGGCACTTAAGAGACCAGTAAGGGAAGTAATTTACCAAATAACTGCACACATAAGGTGATCAATCAACAGCTGTGACTTGTACTGTGAAAGGTTCCAAGAGCCACTTTAAGACACTTACGTCCCTGAGAAAGTGATGCTTTATTTATTCTCTGCCCATTCCTTATCTTCTCTATTTGCTCGACCGTTGGGTTTGTCTATGTGTGTGTATGCACCTGTATTTGTAGGTACGCACAGCTATGTGGAAGGGGAGGAGGATGCTGGGTATCTCCTCTATCATTTTCCACCTTATATTCTTTTGGAGCACATTCAGTTCTAGCTCAACTACCACCGAGGCATCATGAAGGGTTAATGTATAAAATGAATTGTTCTGGTGCTAAACTCACGTGCTTATGTACTCCCTGCTGCCACAGAAAAATAAAACAGCTCAGCGCATACAACCTGATTTCTGAAACATTTAAATCTCTCTTATATTCTTGGGCCAGGGTTTCTCACGGAACCTGGATAACCAGCAAGCTCCTAGGATCCATTTTTGTCTGCCCCCTCAACACTGGGGTTGCAGGCACCTGAAGCTAAGCTCAGCTGATTTTACATGGGTGCTGGGGATTTTAATTCAGGTCCTCATGTGTTCTTACCCACTGAAGAATCTCCCCAACCCTAATCTAAATCCTTACAATTTTGTTCCTGGGTTAATATAAAACAGCCTCTAATTAGTTTCCATGACATTTCATTCTCTTTATTTTCTGACAATAAAGTTTCTCAAATCCTCCTTTTACATCATCAAATTAGAAGGAATTCCTGTGTAAGGATTTGGGGTAATACAAACTAATCTTCATGAGACCCAGATTGATCTAGTTCAATTACAGGAGCATTTCTCAGTTCTTAAAAATAAATTCATACAAAACAGCTCAAATTCTTTATCACCAACCAATAAAAGAACATGAATAAAACAATAAATACATTTATTTTTGGTTTGTTTGAGAAAGGGACTCACTATATAACCCTGGCTGGCCTGGAACTCGCTCTGTAGACCCAGCTTAGCCTTCAACTCAGCTCCACCCACCTCTGCCTCCCAAGTGGTGGGATTAAAGGGATGCATCACTATGACCAACAAAAAAATACATCTTTAAAAGGCTTGATTAATGCATTTCAGCTTGACTCTTTGAGGTTCCCGCAAGCTACCTGACCTCACTTCTCACCACCCAGCCCTTGAAAAACCTCCATGTCTACTAAGGTTGTTGTCTTGGCTCACCAATGAACACGTGTCCTCCTGTTCCTGCACAATGTTTTCTCCTCAGCAAACATATCCTCCCAGTCTCATCTTTTTGTACTTACCTTTGACTGTTTCTTGGAACTTCCTTTCTTTTCTTTGTCATGTTCACTGTAACTCTGCTTTTAGCCTATATTATGAAACTTAATCTGCATATTTACTTGGGCAATCTGTGAATGAGTCCTGGCCCCTACCCCTAAAATTCCTTACATTCTAATATAAGAACACACAATACTTCTTTCAGGTATGACAATGATAAGAATATTGTAACTCTCAATAAATATGTGTTGATTAAAGACTTAATTTGCTTTCTAGGAGACCAGAAGGTAACTGAGTATACAAAGAGTTAGAATATAATCCAGCTCATGGCTCTGTTATATCATGTTAAAATGTTCATATGCATATGGTATGAAAACACTGTTTATGTATGCATACAGAAAATGTCTAGGCCCCTTCAGAGGCGAGCCAAGAGGACCTCTGGCAAGACAGGTGAAGATCACATACTGACTTTTCAGATCATGTCTATTTATTCTATTTCAGTATTTTTTTCTTTTTTGTCTTTTTGAGACAGGGTCTCCTTGTAGCCCCAGCTGTCCTGGAACTCACTATGTAGGCCAAGCTGGCCTTGAACTCAAAAAGATCCCCCTGCCTCTGCCTCCTGAGTGCTGGGATTAAAGGTGTGTGCCACCACACCTGGCTATTTCAGTATTTTTAAAAACAAACATACATTAGTTCAATAAACAAAAACTAACTGCATTTAAAAAATGAAGCAAATGATTTTGAAAATTAGGCTATATTCATACAGAATATATCTTATTTGGAATTCAAGTTACACATTATAAAAATTAAGAATAATGTTCTTGGATTTCTTAAGTCTGAAATGAAAATGAAAATAAAAATTAAAAGTAGGAAAAGCATACTTTAATTGCAAGAAGTTTAGAAATTTAAGCTCATTCATTTTTAAATAGGCCTTGCTAAAGTTCACTTGACACTATAAAACCACTAAGACCTAAAACTTACTAAACTCATTTTATATAGTTTAATGAAAGCTACAATAATGTACACACACAGTGAAAACACATTAAATGATACCATTACCTGGTTATTAAAGCTGACGCAGAGTTTGGAAAATCTAATGGGGTGTGGACAGTCAGCCTTCAGATAAATATCAAACTGAACAGGAACATCCACATGAAAACTTGGGGCATGAAACTTGGCTTTACATTGTACTAGAAATCAAACAAGAGGACTGAGTTACAGTACCAGGTACTAAAGTCCTGCACACATTATCCTGGGAATCACATTTCCTCTACAAAAGCAACTTATCTTCATTCTCACTGATTTCTTAAGGTATTCACATGGACATCCACCCTGTAGGCCAGTCAGTAAAAGTAAACATAAATATAACTTACCTTATGCAAATCAATAAATGTAAACAAATACAGCTTCAACTTATTTTTAAGTTTAAAAACACACTTGTCCCAAAATGTTGGTATCAAAACTTTAAAGGAAAAAAAGCCATTGGATATAAGCTTATTTCAAAATACCAGCCTAGACATTAAAGCATAAACCTTTTCTAAAGTATATTTCAGGTAACCCTTGAATTGTAAGTGAACAAAGTATATTTTAATACCCAAGTACAAATATTTGAACAGAAGAAAAAAGGAAAAATTATGAATTACAAAGCCCCTCCCCTCAAAACAAATTTTTAAAAAACCCACTTTTCTAAATGGGTCAATGTGACAAATGTATTCAGAATAAAATTATTCTGTCATACTGTTATTTAATATATAAACTATATTGCTATACATAAAGTACGTTTTAAAAAAGTTTTAAAAAGGGTGCCAGGGGGCTGAAGAGACGGCTCAGTGGTTAAGAGCAGTGGCTGCCCTTGAAGAGGGTTCGATTCCCAGCACCCACATGGCAGCTAACAACTGTCAATAACTCCAGTTCCAGGGAATCCGACACCTTCTTCTGACCACCATGGGCATTGCAGAACATGGGTGCACTTATACACATGCACTCATACATGTAAAATAAAAAGGGTGCCAGATGTTGTTGGCAGATGCCTTTAATCCCAGAACTCGGAGGCAGAGGCAGGTGAATCTCTATGAGATTGAGGCCAGTATGATCTACACAGCAAGCTGAGGCTGAGGCTATAGGGAGGCCCTGTCTCAAAAAAACAAAAACCAAAAAAAGTTTCAAAAAGGACAAAAATTAGAAAATGTTCCCTCTTGTGGTGTTTTAAGTAATAATGATGAGACTGTTTAAGACATTCATCATTCAAATATCTGTTCAATAAATACCTGTTGAACTTAAAAACAAAATATGTCATACCTTATCTTTAGGACACTAAACAGAAAATTCATGATTATCCATGGAAGTCCTGCATTCTGAAAATTCTTTCCTGATTTTCATATTTATTATTCAGCATCTATTCTTTTAAGAGAAAGGACTTTTCTGAATATTGTAGATGTCTACATACCAAATGGCACAAAGTCCTGTACTCCTATTGTGAAAATATTGCTGCCAGCTAGAGAAACTCTGTCGGCCCACAGCTTCTGAGCAGTCTTTACAGCTAAGACATCACAGTCAGGTTCAGGATCAGGACTTTCATTCTGTAATAAGAGTTACAAATTTGTTCAACTAGTTGGGGAAAAACATACATACAGATATAGATCTAGGCACACATATCCCCATAGCACATTTTATACAGAGCTCAAACCTACCATTAAAACATTTATGAGGTTCTTTTCTATCCGAGATTTCTGGTCATCTTTCAGAGTCGATGCTGAAATGGAAAGAAAAAAAAATAGTGCTGTAAGATAGGCAAGTCAGTCTATTACCCCTATTTGTTATTTCGTACATATAGTATTATTTTAAGATTTATTTTAATTATGTGTGTGTATTCATGTGTAGGTATATACACATGAGTGTGAGTGCCTAAGGAGGCCAGGGGTATTGGATTCCCTGAAACTGGAATTACAGGTGGTTGTTCCTCTACAAGATCAGTATGTGCTCTTAACTTCTATCTCTCCAGCCTCACTAAAATATATCTTTGGGTTTTGTGTGTGTGTGTGTGTGTGTGTGTGTGTGTGCGCGTGCGCACATGAGCATGCATATATGCGTAGGCTAGAGGACAACCTCAGGTGTCATCCTCAGGAACACAGTCCACCTCCTTCACGACAAGGTCTCTCACCAAGTAGGCTAGACTGGTGCTCCTTTCTCCACGTTCCCAGTTCTGGGATTGAAGCACAGGTCACCATGCCTGCATTTTTACATAGGTACTATGTGTCAAACTCAGGTAAGCACTTTACCAACTAAGTTATTGTCCCAGACCCTCTAAAACATTTTATAGTAAATGCTTCTTCTAAGATGACTCAGTACAGTAAATTTTACATAATAAAAGTACTTCTGAATATCTGAATTATTCTTTCAATTTAAAAAATATTAAAAATGACAAACAATTGTGTGGGTTGAACTTTTACAAAAAGAATGCCAAGTTACCTCTTCCAAGGAGTTCTAGGGAGTAAGTAATATAATCCTTTAACTGAGCCATGAGGTAGGAACACTTCAGAGCTGTAGTCAATATAGACGTGAGTAGAGTCCACCATCCTTCACTCCGGTAGTCACACATAACATAATCCAGCAACCTAAGAGAAGACAAGGAGCAAGGCACACTGAGACAGCTTCGCCAGGAGCTTAAGGGGTCCTTGGAGAAAATACACAGTGCTGTTCTCACCTTATATAAAAATTTTTAAAAAATCCTACCACAATAGTTTAACAGGTATTTTTCATATTTAGCCAAACCTGAGTTTAGCTAAAACTTTGAAAAAGAATTACAGCAGCAAAGGACACTTGAAAAAGTATCACATAATTGGATTTGGACGGCTGGAGAGATGCTAAGTGGTTAAGAGCACTGGCTGCTCTTGCAGAGAACCCAGGTTCAATTCCCAGCACCCACATGGCAGCTAACAACGGCTCATAACTCTAGTTCCAGGGGATCTGATGGTCTCTTCTGACCTCCGCAGGCATTGCACAACACGGGTACACCTAACTACATGCAGGCAATATACTCATAAAGTAAAATTAATAAATAAAATATTAAAAAAGAAAAAGTATCACAAAATTGAATTTTAATAAAAATATATATGGTGTTAATAAATCCTTCAATATAAACTTCTTTTCCAATTTCACTGTAAGGCAATCAGAATACTTGTGAAATAGTAAATATAACTTACTTCAAAGCTTTCGTATAATCCTTTGCATAATAATATTCTTCTCCCATTTGAACCACTATAAAGGAAAAAAAGATTAATGTACATATGTATGTAATTTAAAATTACTCCAAGTCGCATAACCTGGCACGTGATGGATTCGTACTTAGGTGGCTTTTCATTCGTGGACATTTGTACTTCTTGAATTGCGCAACAGCATTGCTCAGGAGAGTGATTATTATTTCCTGTTAGAAAAAATACAATATGGAACATTTCAATAAAACAATCCCATAGTTTACTAGAATACTGTGAAAAACAATTGATATTGCTGTAAAAACATAACTCACAGAGTGAACAACATTTCTCTCCTTCAGCTGAATGGCAAGGATCCCCACCTTCTCTTTCTCGGGGTCAGAAAGATCAAAGCCTATGTAAGATGAGAAGTAACGCATTTTAGATAGCTCATTTGACACGAATTTCTACACAAAGACTGCGTGTGTGCACTCCTTGAGTCCTTCATTTTCATACCTCGTGCATTTGTGAACATTCTAGAACCTTTAAGTTTTAGGAGACAGCTTTGTTAACTTGGAGCGTTCTCTGCAGTCTGTTCTTTAGAGAACATTCCTAACCCCAGTGTTCTTGTAGCTGTGGAATCAACCAGCTGAAGAGCACTGTCCTCTGTGGACAACACAGACTCTGCAGGCCAAAGTATAGAGTCTAGAAACACCTGAGGGACAAATGTCACAGATGCTGCTCAAACTAAATTATGTATACAATTCAAAACAATAAATTCTTTTTAAGGCACTACATGCTAATGCTATTTTAAAATGTTAAATAAATCATTAAAATTAAAATGTCTAAATAGTCAAAATTTTAAAATATTTTATTATTTTTATTTTATCTGTGTGCATGTATTACTTGCATGTAGGTATCTGCACCCATGTCATGCAATGCCTTCAGGGGACAGAAGAGGTTGTCAGATCCCCTGGAACTGGAGTTATGGACAGTTGTTAGCTGCCATGTGGGTGCTGAGATTCGAACCCGGGTCTTCAGCAAGAACAACCAGTGTTCTTAACCACTGAGCCATTTCTCCCGCCCATAAATATTCAAATGTTTTAATCACATTAATACCTTTAACTATAAAAGTGACTCTACTATGTAATAAAAGAAATTAAAAACTAAGAAAGTACAGATCTTAAAAAAAAAAAAAACATTAAAAAGCACAGATTTGGGGGCTGGAGAGATGGCTCAGCAGTTAAGAACACTGGTTGTTCTTGAAGAAGACCTGCGTTCGAATCCCAGCACTCACATGGCAGCTAACAACTGTCCTAACTCCAGTTCCTGGGGATCTGACAGCCTCTTCTGTCCTCTGTGGGCATTGCACAACACAGTACACTTACCTACACGCAGGCAATACACACATACACATAAAAAATAAATAAATAAAATATTTTTTTAAAAAAGCACAGATTTACTTCAATATGATTTTTCCATTGGTTTCATTAGTTACAAGAAATGATGACAGCTAACTCTATCTCTTTGAAGTTGAGAGAAAAAAGAAGGAAAAGTACTTAGAATTCCTTGTCGCCAGGGCCTTTGTCCATAAAAGTCAAGAACACCTGTTGGTGTTTCCAGTGGATCAGGATTGGGATACATCACAGACGCCTATAAATTAACAAGTAAGTCTAAGTAAAAATTTATGTAATCCATCCCAAATCAAACCTTAAATACAGAGGTTTCCATATATATCAACATCAAGCATGAATTTAAATAATAGCATTATACATATTTTAACATGAATTTTAACAAAAATCAAATGTTCCACTTAACATTTAGAAAATCTCACAAAAATGGAAATCACTAATTGTGATAAATAATTTCATTAGTAATTAACTGTTTTATATTCTTTTTTATCTTGATATAACAGACCCTGGAAGTGGAGTTATGAATGGTTGTTAGCCACCATGTGGGTGCTGAGACCTGAACCCCAGGCCTGAGCAAGAGTAGCCAGTGCTCTTAACCACTGAGCCATCTCTCAAGCCTCTCAAATTATTTTTTGACAGAATTATTTTATACTTCATTGAATATTATTTAATGTAGTTTCACATATCCTTTATAAAACATAGTTTGAATCATCTATTAAAATACTATATTCAAATTACAATATGCCAAACTTTAAAAAATATGTAATAAAGTTATAAGTCATACAAACTGAAATACTTGATCCAAATCACAGATTAAAAATGGAGTACTTCAATTAAAATTCCTGAAACTAAAAAAGATATTCAAGAGCTGGGTGTAGTGGCCCACACTTTTAATCTCAGCACTTGGGAGGCAGAGGCAGGGGAAATCTCTGTGAGTTCAAGGCCAGCCTGGTCTATATAATGAGTTCCAGGTCAGCTGGGGTTGCAAGAAGACCCTACCTCCCCACCCCACCCCCAAAAAAGATAAAGACATGGAAAAAAGTCAACACTAGTGATCCTCAGCTTCTCTCAAAGGAAGATTATGAAATTTCCTAAGTGCTAGATAATACAGGGCTTGGGAACTTACTTCATGGTTACAGAGGGCTTTTGCATGCTGTTTCCTCTCCTGGGCATAATATGCTGCCTGTTGATAATAGAAACCAGGATTCTGAGTCTGAATAGCTGTTAACCCTAATTTAATAGCTTCATCAAATAAATCTCCAAAGGCCTGAAATCTTAAAGAAAAAAACAATCAACACATAAAAAAAGAATGAATAGTAAAGAAAGAAAACACAGCTTACTTCTAATATTATTCACCCTGGGAACCATAAACTCATGCTCTGTTTTAGCAAAACAATGCTACTGATATACAGCTAATATTTGTCATAAAAGTTTCTTTGAAAATACTATACTATGCATACACTAATTGTAATGTTACAAATATTCTTATTTTAAACATCTCTTTTAAATTAGATCTTAACATAGTTTTCATTCTTCAAATATATCCAAGTTTTGGGGAATAATTTCAACAATGTTTGAATATTAGTGTCAAACACCATGAAGCAGCAATTTTGTTTTGTCCGCTCCTATATTCTCAGGCCCTAAATACACAGTGAAACCCCAATGAATATATGCTGAATGAAAAGACAGTACCATAAGTTACCTGATTTCCAGTAAGAAATTATGCTAATCAGTATGTACTATTCCTGGAAAAATACTTAGGCATATTATTAAAAATCTACTTAGTGATAAAAATGTAATTTAGTTTTGAACCAAAGTCTTTGTTACTTCCATTTCTTTAAATCCCACTTTTAAAAAAAGATTTATTTTTACCTTATGTGTATAAGTGTTTGCCTGCATGTATGTATGTGCACCACATGAATTTCTGGTGCCCTCTGACGTTAGAAAAAGGTGTCAGATCCCTTGGAACAGGAGTTACACATGTTTCTGAGTCACCAGGTGGGTATTGGGAATTGACTCTGGATCCTCTGCAAGAGCAGCAAGTGCTCTCTCCACTGAGCCATCTCTTCAGCACCATATCTTATTTTAAAAATATCGCCTTTAATCCCAGCACTCGGGAGGCAGAGGCAGGCGGATCTCTGTGAGTTCAAGGCCAACCTGGTCTACATAGTGAGTTCCAGGATAGCTGGGGCTACAGTGAGTACAGTGAGACCCTGTCTCAAAAAGACCAAAAAAAAAAACAAGAGGATACAATTTAAACATACTGTTTAGACATCCATGCAGCATGCTCAAATGACAACTCCGCACTTCCAATTTTTTTCTTACATAAGTCAATGTGTTTTCGAAACTGAGCAATTGCATCCAATGGGGTGTTGTGCTGGAAACACAGCCTACAGATCTGCAAAATGTAAAAATCAATCCTAAAATAATGGTGAACAGAGAGTCTAAAAGAACATTCATCTAGTAATACGTAAACTTTGAGAGTAACTTTAAAAGACTTTAAGAATTTTCTTCTCTGAAGTTCTCTGTAACAGACTTAATTCTCTTCATCAAATGCATATGCTAAAAGCACAGATCATACTAGGCATGGTGATACACACTTTTAACCCCAGTACATAGGAGGCAGAGGCAGGACTCTGGGCACCCTGGTTTACAAGAAGAGTTCTAGGCCAGTCAGGGCTACATAGTAAGATCCTGACTCAAAGAAAAAAGTGGGGGGAGAACAGGTTATAAGTTATGTTGCTTTGAGGAATGAAATAATAATATACTGCATACCTTTAAAAAATTAATTCAAAGGAAGAACATATATATGGGCCACAATATTTCACAGGTAACTAAGAAAGGATAGACTGAGTATTAGAATTGCAGGAAATTAAGCATTTTCTGCAGAATAATCAAAATGAAGTTGCCTATGTCTCAATCAAAGATTATAAAAATTTTCAAAAAGTTTTTACCTGAAGTACTAATCATAATTATTTCAAAACAGTACAATTTACATATACTAGGGATAATGGAAACAGAACAAAAAAAGCCTAAATTACTACAACTTTCGATTTCAGTTAGATACATAGAAATGCACAAAGTCTTTTTAAAAGTTAAGTGTGTGTGTGTGTGTGTGTGTGTGTGTGTTATATGCATGTGTGTGCATATGTGGAAGACAGAAATTGACTTCAGGTGTCTTGCCCTATTGCTCTCTATCTTACTTTTTGAGACAGGGTTTCTCACGAAGCGTGGAGCTCACAGTCACAACTAGACTGACTCCCAGGATCTGTCTGTCTCCATTTCTGCCCCCTCCAGTGACTGGAGTTAAAAGCATATGCCACCACACCCAGTTTTTACATGGGTGCTGGAGATCTGAATTCAGTTCCTCATATTTGTGCAGCAAGCATTTTACCCACTAACTCATCACCCTCACCCAAAAAGTTTACTGTCCATCCTTGTCTTTCAGGCATCTAATTTCTCTTTCCAGGGGCAATCAGTTTTCAGCAGATGAATTCTACAGACAGGTAAGTATATGTAATATATATAAACACTATGAAACATGTACCGTGATATGCTGAGTTATACCTTACTTCATCTTCCACTCTCTATCAATGTGTGGAGCTGCTACATTCTTAATAGCTACACAATATCCCATAATTTACATAATAATGTTCCATTACAATTTGTATAACCAATTACTCATTGCTGGCTTTTTTCCTAGTAAACATCTATAGAAGTGATCTGGAAATATTAACATATTCTGACATAAATTTCCTGAAGAAAAATTGTGAGGTCGAAGGAAACATACACTTGTAGATTTGTGGTCACTAAAAAAAGATTCTCTACTAATCTGCACCAATTTACACTTACATCTACAATGAATTAAAGTATTTGCCCACACATCACCCAGTGCCAGACATCTTAAAAGATGAGTAAGGAAATATTTCAATCAAACCAATAGCCCTGGCTTATTTTCTGGGAAGTGGGTGGGTGGGAAATCTATCTTTACAATATACAATCTTCAAATGCTCAAACTGTAGTTATATAACTTCTTTAAAGTGAATAAAGCCAGCAGAGGTGGTATACACTGTAATCCCAGCTACTTGGCAGGCTGAGGCAAGATGATCACTTCAGCCCCAGAGTCCAAGACCAGCCTAGGCAACATTGTATGAGATCCAATAGCAACCCTGCCCTCCAACACACACACAAATCCAACAACAACCCATGAAAGTGAATAGCTACATTTTTTCTATGATTGAGTCATGAAACCAGGAAATGCTCCTTAATTCTAATATGTCAAATCTTCTGCAATTCAACAATACAGGCAGCCTTCTTCTCACTATTCCCTTCTCTTACGAATAAGCACTAAAAAACTCAACTTTCAATAATCAGAATCTGTAAACTAAAAACTAGCTATTACTATTAGGCTGCAAGAGTTAAAGCCTTTCTTGAGTAAAAAGACATTAAAAAAAAAGGCAAATATAATTCATCAAATACCAACTTTCCAGAGTAAGAAAGTGATTATGATTTTCAAATTTTAAAACAGTAGTAACATGCCAGGCACGGTAGCCCAAGCCTTTAATCCCAGCACTCAGGAAGCAGAAGCAGGCAGATCTCTGTGAGTTCAAGGTCAGCCTGGTCTACATTTCGAGTTCCAGGCCAGCTGGGGTTAGAGGGAGACCCCGTCTCAAAAAGACTGAAAAAAAAAAAAAAAAAAAGATAAGTTCCTTTTATTTCAAAGTAGAACCATTACCTTGTAGTTTATAAATCCTGCCATAGTCTTAATTTCCAGAATATTAGTTTCATGGGCTCTCAATTCGTGTACAAGATTATAGGCGGTCCTATAGTTCCTAATACAAACATGAAGACAGTGGTTAATTATATAAATTAATTTTTAAGATTCCTAAGAACAAAAATTAGCATAACAGACAATATTTACTCAGCATTTCTTACCAGTCAACAGCTCAATAACATATACATATCAATCTCTAATGTCCTGAGACATGATCTAGTGATTACTAATCAGTGACTTTTCACAAAGAAAAAAATCTATCCCATGTGCATTGTTCTTTCTGTCACTAACTAGCCTGTCAAAACCAAATAGGACACAAATAACAAAAATAACAAATAGGGGGCAGATTGGGCAGTTATCTGGAATGACACTGAAAATTGTGCATTATTAATAAATATGTATGTATATATGTATGTATTTTTGAGACAGGGTCTCACTAGATAGCACAGGCTGGCCTGGAACTTACAGTCCTCCTGCTTCAGCCTACCAAGAGCTAGGATTACAGGCATGTGCCACCATGTTCAGCTGAGTTTTATTTTTTTAAGTACCATTGTGAGTTTTTCCAAAAAAAAAAAAAAAGTCAATATTAGCCTTAATGATTTAAAAACATAAAACAAGTCAAAATCTTTTTAACCCCCAGGTTAAATAAATAGTACTGATCATGGGTAGAGGTTGGAGATAGAAAACATCCTTAGGGGAGCTAGATCAGAAGAATGGAGATGAGGAGAGGCCTGAAGGAGAAAAAAACCTACCTAAGATGGAAAGTGATGAGAAAATGCATTTCCACATTGGAAAAAGTGAATTCTTAACCTCTCTGGTAAAAACTGTTCATTATAGCATCATTTCTGAACAGACCTAAATGAAGTGCTTTAATGCCATCCATATAATGAACTATATTAAAGCCAGCTAATGTTATTTATCTACTACTATTTTTCTCCTCCTCCTCAAGTCTAAGATTAAAAACTGATTCTTCTTTAAATCTCTTTCCATACTGCCATTGCACAATAAAAAATCTGAGCTAAAGAGACAAGATCATGTTTTATTAAACTGTGGTTAACAAAAACAAAGTAATAAAATGTTAAAGCACTGCCAACACATCTGCAACTAATCTTCAAGGCTCTAAGCAGAGTCTTCAAATAGAAAATGATGTCACATACTAAAAAAATTAATGATAAAATTTTACTTGAATAAATGAATACTTAATGTTTATTATGCTTTGGAAATCATTCTCTTAACTCAAATATTTTACAGAATAACACAAATAGAAAAATAATAGAAAAATGAAGAAAATTGTGATATTTCTATAAAATATTTTATGTATTACTTTTTATTTTATGGGTATGAATGCATTGCCTGCATATATGTAAGTGCACCCGTGTTGTGTAATGCCCACAGAGGTCAGGAGAAGGTGTCAGATCCCCTGGCACTGGAGTTATGGATGGTTGTTAGCTAATCAAACTGGGTTCTCTGCAAGAGTAGCCAGTGCTCTTAACTGCTGAGCCAGCTCTCCAGCCCCAATATTGTATTTCTTTGGATCATGAAATTTAATTAAATTAGACCAGAAAGTTTTATGCCACTCTGAAATTTATTTCCAATATTAAAATGTAAAAAAAATTTAGGTGTCCATTCATTTCTGGACAAATTACCTGCTAAATACCTGAATCTAATCAACATGAATATCTTAAAATTAAGGTGACTCAGATTCATAAATTATCATTATGGAATCATTAACATCAGGTAATAGAAATTTGTTTGAAAACAATTAGAAACTTACTTCAGAGCATTCTGTGTATCTTGTTTCAACTCACTGAAGAAAGCTATTTTGAACTGATGTCTAACAAACAAAAGCTGAAAAGAATGAGTAAAAAATTATTATATGCATATTTTAAAGTATATGTTCATTATAACACATTAAGGCATAAAGGAAAGCATTCAGAATTAAAACACACAATTATTTTAACAAAGACACAGTTAAAAAGGGTCTAAAGTTTTGTACGAAGGGCTATATCGATGGCTCAGTGCTTAAGACCACATATTGCTCTTGCAAAGGACCCAAGTTCAGTTCCCAGCCCCCATGTTAGGTTGATCATCACTGTCTGTAATCCAGCTCCAGGGAATCCAACACGCTCTTCTGTCCTCCATGGGCACCTTTACAAGAGCATGTGCACCTGCACCCACACCCACACCTACCCTCCAGCACATAAAGATGCAGACGCATACACATAAATTTTTTTTGAAAGTCCATTATTTTAAAAATCTATATTCAAGAACTATTGAGGATAAAGAGTTTGAAAGTAACTTCAAGAACAAAAGAATTTAACTTTAAAACCAATTCATTTTTAAAAGTCTTTAAATAAAAAAACCTTTAGATGTACTAAAACCATTTAAAACATCAAAGTACTAAAGATCTAAAAACAACTAGCAATGAATAATCTGCTCTAGAATGCCTTCACTATGTTTTAAAATGCACCTGGTGTGTTGTTTTATTCAAAAATTCTTTATGGGATTTCCCTCTTCTGATCTCAGTGTAGTAATAGGTCTGGGCATGCTCATAAAATGCATTTTCTAATCTGTAAAAAAAAAAAAAAAAAGTAAAGTTATTCAAAAGCAAACTCTTTTTAAGAATTGTATTTGTGAGAACTGAAAATAAATTTATGACAGATATTGTCTATTTGACCTTATGCTATGATGAAAAATGAGCAGCATATAATCTGAATTTCTAGAAAAAGGTCTAGAATTAAGACCTCTCCCAAAGCCATGAAAAGTATTTATAACATAGGCTATAATAATGGATAAATTTTCTTCTAATTTATAAAAATTAGATAATCACTAAGATTATTTTTACCATTACTACAATTTTATAAATCATCTGAAAAAAATTTAAGATTTAATTAGAGTTCATTATTTTTTGTGATTTTAATATTTAGAATTTAAAAGAATAAGAAAGTTTATGGAGAAAAATATAAAAAATAATCAGCATGTGAAAACGTCTCAATGTCAATTGCTTTGAAATGAATTCTTCTGTATGAAAAAAAAAAAAGTTGTGCTGTAAAGTATTCCTTGAGAAATGTTTATAATTCTATGAGAATGTAAATAGTTTCACAGTAATTGTTTTCCAGTTAGAATATTCTAACTTAATTGCAGCGCAGTCTCTTTAATTTCTTGTTCATTAATTTTTAACTAACTTCATAAAAGAATAAGAATAAAAAAAAATATAAAAAAAATAATCAGCAAATGAGGTGAAAATAACATTTGTGTTATTTAAGTCCTGTTTCGTTGCATAACTCCGAGATTATACAAGAAGAAAAGAAGCCTGACCAGAGATTAGAAAGCAACTCAAACTCCTATTGAGAAAAAAGCACTGCTTAGAGCACATGCCTAGGGCACAAAAGGAAGTGCACTCACAGTCGAATAAAAGACAAACTGTAAAGTTTTCCTCCTCGGAATTAAAACACAATTTTGAACCTATATTCAAAAACATTTTTCCTAAGGAAAACAGGATAAGTCAAAATTTTAAAAATCAGGTATTTATTTACAAAGTCTTACCATGTAGTCTGACCTCAAAGTTTGAGGTTAGGCCTCAAACTCATATAGCCTAGAATGGCCTCAGATCAGCATCCTCCTGCCTCAGTCTTCTGAGTGCCAAGATTATGGGCATGTGCCACCATGTGTGGCAGAAATCCTATTTTAAATGGGATTTTCTGGGTTAAGGTTTTCTATTTTCAAAAACTATAATTTAAAAAAAATGTTAAAATATGAAAATAATTAAAGTTAGATTTTAATTTTATTTTTTTATTTAAAAATTATTATTATCTGTCCTGGAACTCGCTATGTAGACCAGGCTGGCCTTGAACTCACAGAGATCTGCCTTCCTCTGCCTCCCGAGTGCTGGGATTAAAGGTGAGCGCCACCACACCCAGCTTATTATTTTTATTTTATATGTATGCTTGTATTGCCTGCATGTGGGTAAGTGCACCCATGTCGTGAAATGCTCGCAGAGGACAGAAGAGGCTGTCAGATCCCCTGGAACTGGAGTTATGGACAGCTGTTAGCTGCCATGTGGGTGCCAGATTCGAACTCGGGTCTTCTGCAAGAACAGTCAGTAGTCAGTATTCTTAACCGCTGATTCTAATTTTATACAAAGAATGTTATTAATCTAAATATGTCCATTAAATTTTTATAAATAATGGGGCTGGAGAGATGGCCCAGTGGTTAAGAGCACTTGCTGTTCTTCCAGAGGACCCAGGTTCGATTTCCAGTACCCAATGAGCGGCTAACAGTCTTCCAAGCCTGATAACCTGAGTTCAATCCCTGGGATCCACATGGTGGAAGGAGAGAACCAACTCCCCCAAGCTGTTCTCTGACCTCAATGTATGCCATGACATGCACAAGGCCCTTTCACCACCATAAATACATAAATGTATTTTAAGAAATTAGTTATGTGGAATTAAATCCTTCCCCCAATTTCAAACAGACTAGGTTAAATAGTTATAAAGATATGTCTGGATATCAGATCAGTGTTGTAAGAGCCTCACTTTTAAATTCACATACTTCAATATTTGAGGATTTTTATTTTAGATGAAAAAAGTTTCAAAAATATAAACAAACAGATCTAGTCAAGAACTGAGGGAGTCAGAGAAAGAGTTCTTTAGCACATATTTAAATGGGAAATCCGAATGCAGTGTTTTCATTTAGTGATTTATATAGATGAATTTCACCATCCATGATGTTGTTTTTAAATAAATGTGTCTAAACTACCAATTTTTCATTCCTAAGGAACACAGAACTTTTATTTACCTTATAATGTAGCCCACAAGGTGGTCAGTGTGGGGCAGCACAAACAAGGACTTTCCCGAGAGCTCACACACATTACATAAAGCTGCAGCCCGCTCAGAAGCAATGACATCTTCTCCTAGAGGGAAGCCCCAGACAAAGAGAAATGAAGCAAGTATGTTATTTCTTTATATTAAAATTTGCCTAAAAATTTTTTTGGGGGGTCTTTTTGAGACAGAGTCTCTCTGTATCCCCAGCTTGCCTGGAATTCACTATGTAGACCAGGCTGACCTCAATCTCACAGAGATTTGCCTGCTTCTGCCTCCTGAGTGCTGGGATTAAAGGGGTGCACCACCATGCCCGGCAAGCAAAAATTTGCCCAAATTTGTAATCAGGGTAAAGTTTCAAACCCCTTTCATCATGATAACAGGACTCCTGGGCTCCTTTGAGAGCTCAGGATTCCTAAAGTTAATTAGTACATACTTATTAGGAAAATACTGTAGAATTTCCTCCTGAGTCAGATGTCAATGTCCAAAGGCATATCACATGGATATTTCAAAACACATAAAAATATGGTTAACAATAATTCACAAGACCACTACCAGTTTCAACATGGCAACAAAAATTATTCTGGCCGGGGCTGGAAAGATGGCTCAGCAGTTAAGAGCACTGGCTGCTCTTGCAGAGGACTGGGCTCGATTCCCAGCACCCACATGGCAGCTAACAACTGTCCATAACTCCAGTTCCAGGGGAAGCCAACACCCCTTTCTGACTTCCATGGGCACTACACAATACAGGTGCACTTGTTACAGACATGCAGGCAATACACTCATATACCAAAAATGAAAATAATAAATAAAATTTTTAAAATTATTCTGGCTTATGAAAATCTTGGAATGTAAAAGAACCACTGAAAACATTTTCCTGAATGAAATTATATATCCTATTCTTCTTTGTGTAAGAGTAAAATGTTAAATAGAATCAGATAAGTAAATAATATTCTTTTTAAATTTTCTTTATTATTTATTTTTATTTTATGCATATGAGTACTTTGCCTGCATGTACGTAAGTGAACCCATGTCATGCAATGCCCACGGAGCAGGAGTGATGGATGGTTGTTAGCTGCCATGTGGGTGCTGGGAACTTAACTCAGGTCCTCTGGAAGAGTACTTAGTGCTCTTAACCTCTGAGTCATCTCTCGAGCCCCAACACTCTTTTATAAAAGCAATTAGATAAACTGATAAAATTCCTATGTGAGGAGTTAGGCAGAAATGAAAGAGTAAGACAACATTTGTAAACTTTATTATTTTTGATAGTTTATAATAAGCATTCATTCAGGCATTACTGGTGAACTCTGGAGATTGAACTATGGTTGGCAGGCTTGGTAGCGAGTGCCTTTACCTGCTGAGCTATCTAGCCCACCTTATGGGTACTTTTTAAAAGTTGGCATACTATCAGTCCCAAAGGGAAAACATAAGAGATTTAAACACTTAAAAATCTACCTCCTGATATTAACAATTGGTGACATAAGGTAATTGCTTAACTTTCTGATACCTGGAGGCAAAGGAGTTTTCTTCTGAATCAGAACCACTGCAACTTTTGTATTTCGGCCTTGCAAACTTTGCCTGCAATGGAAAAAAATCATACTATAATGAACTTTTTTTTTAAAATTATGTGTATGAGTATTATGTTTGCATGTATGCAAATACACTTGTGTCATGCAGTGCCTGTGGAGGACAGAAGATGGCACTGGATCCCCTGGAACTGGAGTTATTGACAGTTGATAGCCACCATTTGGGTGCTGGGATTTGAATCCAGGTCTTCCCCAAGAACAACCAGTGCTCTTAACTGCTAAGCCATCTCTCCAGGCCCTGATTAACTGATTTTAACTAAATTATTCTAAGCTGCACATAAAACACAAACTTGATAATTCAATTAAAGATAAATTCCAACTAAAAAAGATCAAGATCAGGGTAAATCTTTTCCTACACACAGACATATTTTTCATAATAACTTCAATTTTAAAAGTATAATTTATGCCAGGTGTGGTGGCATACACCTTTAGTCCCAGCATTCAGGAGGCAGAGGCAGGTAATCTCTTTGAATTCAAGGCCAGCCTGGTCTACATAGTGAGTTCCAGGCCAGCTGAGGCTACAGGGAGACCCTGTCTCAAAAGACCAAAAAAAAAAAAAAAAAAAAAAAAAAAAAAATTTTTAAAAAACTTTTAATCCTTACTAAACTCCTCTTTAAAAAAAAAAAAAAAAAAAAAAAAAAAAAAAAAAAAAAAAGTATAATCTTATATCAAACTTGTAATCCTTACTAAACTCTCCTTTAAAAGTGAAATTTTAAGATCCAGTAAGATGGTTCAGTGGATAAAGGCACTAAACCCTAAACCAGATGATCTGAGTTGATTTCCCCAAACCCACATGATGCAAAGAGAGAATCAACTCCTGCAAGTTATCCTCTGATCACATGTGCACCCCACCCCCAAAAAATAATGTAAAAAAATTAATGTAAAAATGTAATACATATTTTACACAAAAATTATAATACAACTTACTTCTTCACAGTGATACATTAATCACCCAAAAGAATTAATTATCTTAAAACTGTATAGTGATAAAGCAAAAGTGTTTTGTGGGAAGGATTTTTCTGGGACCAAGTAAATCACGTGCTTTGCAATCTTTTAGAACTCTATACTCAATCTGTTTTCCTACTATACACTGAGCTTGTTTAAATTTAACTAGCCCTTAAGAAAATGTGCAATATAATTAACTCTTACAGGTGAAGCCAAAGCAGCTTTAATTTTATTCATGTTCCCTATCTGACTGTGATTCCCCAACTAAGAACAATGTTATGCGTACATGAGATGTGGCAATTAGACCTAAGGCCACTGCTGAAAGCCATGGTAATATGAAAAGCAACCTATCCCCCACGAGTGCTGGAAACAACACGTATCCATCAATATGTTGATGACATCTGTAGTTTTGTATGCTGTTCTGAGTAAGTAGGGTCAGAAAAATAAATTCATCCCTTGTAAACTTTGATTAATGATTCTTGAAGAATCCCCATATCCTGACTGATGTTTTGCTGAAATGAGAGGAAGCCCTTTGTTCAACTGCTGAGAAATAAGGACTCCTCAGAACTGATCCGGCTCCCTCTTCTTGTACATGGCACTGCTGCAGTGACTCAGAGGGCAAAGGTACTTACCACGCAAAACTGACAACCTTAGTTTGATCCCTAGAACCCACATAAAAGTGGAAAACTAATTCTACAAGATTGTCATTTGAGCTTCACACATGTATTGTGGCACACATGCCCACATGTACATGAGTACACACACACACACACACACACACACACACACACACACACACGATCACAGTTGAATTCAGTCATCAACTTGACAGAAGGGAGGCTCAACTGGGGAATGTCCTGTATCAGATTGGCCTGTGGGCATGTTTGTGAGGCATTTTCTTAATTATTGCATGATGTGGAAAGGCCCAGGCCACTGTGGGTGGGTCTACCCCTGGGCAGATAGTCCTGGGTTGTATAAGAAAACAGGCTGAGGACAGGCCAGAGGAGCAAGCCAGTAAGTAGCATTCTCCATGGTCTGTGCTTCAGTTCCTACCTCCAGGTTTCTGCCCTGAGTTCCTGCTCTGGCTCAAAGGTAAACTATGATTGGGCATGGAAGCCAAATAAACCCTTTCCTCCCCAAGTTGGTTTTGGTCAGAGTGTTTTATCACAGCAATAGAAAACTAAGAGGACACACAACAATAATAAATAAAAATTTTAAAAAGTGTTTTATGGGGCCAAATATTAAATTGCTACCTCCAAAAGAGATCATAAATACAAGAAAATGGAAAATCAAACCAGTGTGTCCTCTAAATTTGATACCCCTGACAATGTATAGTTAATATTTATATTACTATTTAGACACAGAACAAGTTTCAATGGAGGTTAATAATCCTCAAAGTGACCACTGTAGTTTAAACAATATTCCGTTACTTTCAATAAATGTTAGTAAACAGGGCTGGGGATATAGTCAGGGGATAGCAACTGCCTAGAACACATATGCCATAGGTTCGATCCCTGGTTAGCAAACAACAGACACCTACAAGCTTCCCTGGCAGTCCGACAGTGCTCATACCTGACAATCTCCACTCTGGTAGCACACTCGGATTGCTTCTCTTTCCACTGAGGCTCATCCCAGTCCAGTTCATAGAATACAACCACCAGGGCTGGGACCAGATTCAGATGCTTATTCATCCAGCCAGTCTTTAAGACCCCTTTAGGAATGTACCATTCATATGAAGTTCTCTGCAAATAGTGACAAAATTATTTGATAACAATAGTAAAAGAAACCCCTACGGAGTGCCAGGCCTTTTACATGCATTTGTTTCATTCAATGTGCACATGACCCATTTCTAAAAGGAAGAAATCCAGGCTATCAGAAATGAAATAACACACATAAGTGTTAGAAATAGAATCTCCATCACAGAAACACTATGCTTCCCATGTGAGGAAGAAAGACCAAAGCAAAGGGTTCCTAGCAAGGTCAAGGACCTTGTTACCATGTAGAGTAACAGCCTTTTTCCAGGTAAATTCTATTTCCATTCTTTTTTTAAAAAATATTTTGTTTATTATTTTTATATGAGTGTATTGCCTGCATGTAGGTAAGTGCACCCATGTTGTGCAATGCCCGTGGAGGACAGAAGAAGCTGTTGGATCCCCTGGAACTGGAGTTATGGACAGTTGTTAACTGCCATGTGGGTGCTGGGATTCGAACCCGGGTCTTCTGCAAGAACAACCAGTGTTCTTAACTGCTGAACCATCTCTCCAGCCCCTCTACTTCCATTCTTTACATTCCTATTTCTGTTCTGGTACAATAATAAAATAGTCTAAAAAATCTAATATGGCTTCATTGGTTTCGTCTGTTTCACAAACATACTGCCATACAGCATTTCACCTTAATCTTGGATGAAATAAAAACAGAACTAATTCTTAACTACACTAGAACGTCAGCAGTCACTTTAAGTGACAGCTATAGTGCCACTCAGTGTAGCGATGATGAGAGATGATGAGAGATTTAGCATGCCAATCCTGAAGAACCCAGTTGAAATATCAATTGCTTCCAAATCACCTGCATTGGTTGAGATTACTCCATTTCAAGTTGGTCCAATGTTACTTAGAGTAAAGAAAGACAAGGACAGCAAGGAAGTCAGTTTTGAATGTAATGTTTTCCTCATTCCAAATTGAGTGAATTATTTTGGTTTCTATATAACTCACCAGAGACAAAGGTAGTGTCACATTTAAATTTTTTTGTCTTTTTGAGACAGGGTCTCCTTGTAGCCCCAACTGTTCTGGAACTCACTATGTAGACCAGGCTGGCCTTGAACTCACAAAGACCCACCTGCCTCTGCCTCCCAAGTGCTGGGAATTAAAGGCGTGCGCCACCATGCCTGGCTATATTTAAATTTTTATCACAAGCTTCCTGCACAGTTTTGACTACCACAAAGCAAGCATTCAAGATACATGTGAAACTGAACCAAACTGTTAAGTTCAAGGGTTCTATGATATTGGTAATGATGAACGGATAATGTAAAATCTTACTTTTAAAGAGGCCTTGGTTAAAACTGTGGCAACATGGAGTTTTTTTTAATGAAAAGAAAAATGTAGGCTTATAGGATAGAAAGCTTTGTAAAATAACTGTTGACAATGCTTTGTAAAATAATAAAAGGTAGAGCATAGGTGTAATTCCAGCACTCGGCGGGGGGAGGGGTAGAGGCAGGCAGACCTCTGTGACTCTATATAGACAAGACTGTGATGCCAGTCTGGTCTATATAGCCAGTTCCAGCTGGGGCTATAGGGAGACCCTGACTCAAAAACTAAAAACAAACAATAACTGTACACAAAAATGCTTGTGCTTCCTTATATACCACTGTAACCTCTACCTGATAAACTTTGGTTTTCCAACACATAGGAATGGGAGAGGGAGAGTGGGAAGAGGACGGGGACCATGAACGAATGCATGCAATCCTGATGCCCTTACCTTGGGTCTACATTTTGGATATTCATGGTCACCTGGCAGCACCTTGAAAGAAATTGGTACCCTATCAGCCCTCCGATTGGCACAGAAAGCATCCCAGACTGCTCGATGGACAGCATTATAAACTACATCTAGGCCAGTAAGTGTAACAAAAGCCATAGGCCGACAACATAATTCCACAGGGAAGTCCCACTGTGTGGGGCTCATGTTTAACACGGCACAGAAAATCTGAAATACAAATGTCAGAACATTCATAATTATTTTTCAAAATCAACAATATTTTAATATATAAATATTATAAAAAGGCAAAAGGCTCCAAGTGCACATCTTTAAGTAAATACAAGAGAACAAAGTGACACTTGAATTCCTGAGTTAAACTTACTAAATTATTAATTGCATTATATTTTATTTAAAAATTCACAAAAAAGTTGTCAATTTTTAGACAAAGCAGTATTTTCAATAATTTTTTAAAATGTCCACCAAAGTTATATAGGACGAACCGATCAAGAAAGTAGGAAAGTGATCAAATTAAAATAGGTCTTGCCACGCAAGGTGGCAGATGCCTATAATCTTAGCACTCAGGAGGCTGAAGCAGGAGGATCAAGAGTTTAAGGTAGCCTGATATAAAATAGTAAGACTCTTATCTAAAAAGAGCATAAAAATTTTAAGCTCTATGCCCTATTTCAACCATAAATTATTTTTAAAAGTTATTGACTTACATCTATTAAAAGTACAACTTCGTCTTATTTCTCTGGAATTACAAATAACTAATTTTAGAATGCTTAGAATGTTACTAATATGTGCATTATCTAAATAACTGTTTTCTCACTTTCCACAATATAATTAGAAGAAAAGCTATGAGACACTAATAATGAATGAAAACCCTTAGGAGGACATGGTTCTGCTGTGTCAGCTTAAGTCTACAATAAATTCACATATGCACTGTCTTTAAAAAAAAAACTATATAAAAATGTGCTTATTCCAAACAAAATTACCACTGCATTTTAAAACTATTTATTTCCCTAAGGGTTTATTATGTGCTTCTATAAAGAGGTAGTCACCACCATTACATTATGCAGAACACAATATAATCTTTGGGGAAATGGAGGCATAAAATACCACCACTTGATTCCTAAAACATAGAATATTTCTAACTGAAAGGTTAATTTAGTAAAGATAATTAAGTAGGTATCTTATGCTTAAGCACTGAAAGAACAATAAGTATTGAAAAATGATTTGGAAAGTTTGCCAGAATGATGCCTACAACATAAGTCTCGAGAATTGCTTAAAAGGAGTCTTTAAGGGTAGTATTGTGCTTTAAGGGCAAAGAAAAACATACTACTTCTAGGGAATTTAGGATGAAGAGAGAAATATTCTCACTCTGCAGAACTGGGGGATGAAAATTAAAGAGGTTGTCAAAATGTAATATGGATATCGTTGCCTAATACCAAACAGTCTAGGCAAGAGTGCTAAAGGCCCATTTCCCTTAATACTAGAGATTCAAAAGAAATAGCTGTGGTCTTTGAATATGGAAAGGAAATAAGGGGAAGTATAAATAATTTATAAAGCTCTAAATTAGTACTGTCCAAGAGGAATACAGTATGAGTCACATGGTTTAAAAAATTTCTATCTAGCAGTTACACTAAAAAGTAAAAAAGATGCCAGCTCAGGTAGCAAACTCCTGTAATCCCAGCACTCAGGAGGCAGAGGCAGGAGGATGGCTTCAAGTTCCATAGTAGCCTGATCTACAGGGTTACATGGTGAGGCACAGATCTCAAGTCCCCCACACCCTAAAAAACAGAAAAAGAGAAATGTAGAATTCATTTTAGTACAATCCTATTCAACCCAGTTATGTTCAAAACTATCCTTCAAACATCAATGTGTTGTTGATTTTTAAAAACCTATTTCTTTACTGTCTTCAAAACCTGGTTGTTTTATTTTTATTGCATATCTCAGTTGGGTCTAGCCGATTTCAAGTGCTCAAGAGTCACCTGTGGCTACTGTCTACCACAATGGACAGTGCAGCTCTCAATTACGGCTAATCCGTTCCAACAACATCCTATGAACACCAATTTAGAAGTTCCTGTCAACCATATTCTACTTTACAGGCTGTGGCACTTGAAATGGTCCTGCTTATTATTCTGTGGCTTTCAAAGGGATAGGACCCTGAGAGCATGGTGGTGCAGGCCTTTAATCCCAGCACTCTGCACTCTGGAGGCAGAGGTGGACAGATCTCTGAGTTCGAGGCCCATCTGGTATATATATTGAGATCCTGTCTTTAAAAAAATGAGCCTGGCCTAGTGGCACATGCCTTTAATCCCAGCACACAGGAGGCAGAGGCAGGCGGATCTCTGTGAGTTCAAGGCTAGCCTGGTCTACACAGTGAGTTCCAGGCCAGCTATAAGGAGACCCTGTCTCAAAAAGATTTAAAGAAAAGAATGGTGAACGAGGGGAGGGGATGGGACTGGAAAGGAGGAGTTCAGATTAAATAGATCTCAATGACACACAGGAAAGTAAATGTTTTCTGGCTTCCTATAAAATAATGGAGAAATCAAACAACACGAAAGGATGCAAAGTAGAAAGTAAAGTCTTCGGCACTCATATGGTTAAAGTGACAGCTAACGTGGAAGAGAAGCAGGGTAACCCAATCAAAATGACTACTAACAAAGATGGTTATCAATGAACGGGAGGTTCGGGGTGCAAGGCATAGCCTAGTAAGTATGGATCCAGAGACATCCAACTACAAAAAGATCAAAGGAAGAAAGACAGCCTGGGAGCCTGATGCAGAGCATAGGAAGCAACAACCCAACCTAGGAAGACTCTGTCCCCAGAGTCGCAGCGTTCCGCTCAGGAAGCTGCAATGAGGAAAGAAGTAATAACCTCACAGCCCTAGAAACTGTCATCTTCCTCTAGTCTCTTCTCTCTACCTAGAAACAAGTGGGATTTTCTTTGGGGCTGTCAGGATTGCATCCCTGGACGCCTCAAGAAAACGCGCAGGCCCTCAAAGCAGCCCTGCTCCTCTGCAGGTTCTCCTGGCCGTCTCCGGGCCCGGACTCACCCAGGCCGCACGCCCTGGGCCCGCTGCACCTGCAGTCAGCCGCCGCCAGCCCGGAGGGGACCAAGAAAGCGAGGTAGGGGCGTCACCGGACTCCAAGGCCAGGTCCCTACAGCCTCAACCCCGGAGCCGGGAGCAGAAGGCTAGACTTCCTTTTCCCCGCCTCCGCTGGCACAGGAAGCGCTTCCTGGACTTGAGTGACAGCTCTTCACACCAATCACAGATCAGGAACTGTACGCCGCTCCTCAGAGCGTAAGGAAGGCGCTCTATTTCCTAGAGAAGAAAGAGCTGGGGGCGGAGAGAGAAGGTGCCAATCCGAGGAACGATCGTGACAGAGGGCGGAGCCTCCTCCGTTACCGCCCCGCAGCGACAGGTCGTGGCGTCCCACTTAGAGTGGCCTGGGTCTCCTGGTTCACAGGCACCGCCGGCGGCTTGGCGCTGCCGAGGACCCGCGCGCGTGAACTCGTCCCCACGGCTGCGAGGGTTCCCCTAGGCCGAGGCGCGGAAGCGGGGCGCGCCGGCCTCCCGGCCACTGCCCGCCTGCTCTTCGTGGTCGCCTACGCCGTCCGTCCGGCGCGATGGGTGCCAACGAGGACCAGGAGGTGAAACCCCCCTCCCCACCCCCGGGCTGGACACCCCGTTCCCCGCTGGAGGCGGCCGGGGCGCCGCACGTGTTCCTCGCCCTTCGCGCTCTTTCAGCCTGCCCGCGGTGCCCCACGTTGACCGGTCCCCTGCGAGGTGACACCAAGCACGCGTGTGGCCAGCGAGCACGAATGGGTCCTGGTGCGACTCTGCCTCCTGCTCCCCGCTTTTGTCAGTTTTTGCAACCTTGGGGGACTCAGCAGGTTTCCTTGTTAATGAGTGTCCTTGGTCCACGACCCTGGTGCGCTTGACTGTCCTTTAAATCCCTTATGTGGCTAAGCGCTTGGATGACTGAGTTATGCGGTCGTAGAATCTGGTAGCCCTTAAATTTGAAAATCTGTGATCTCGTAGAGAGAGGGTTAATTGAGTAAGTAAAATTTATGTAAAGGAAAAAAAAAAAAAAAAAAAAAGACCCGGGTGGTTCTGGTTCTGTCTGCAGTTTATGCTTAGTGGAATCATTTACCCATCTGTTGTTGAGTGGATTTAAAATCTGCTTTGAGCATCCAGGTATCATCAGAATTGTATAGTTTGTGCTTAGATATTTTCTTGCAAAATGTCATTTTGATATTGAATAATGTGATGGAGTTGGAGGGGATGGTTGCTACCAGTCACCTGTAGGGGAACCGTCTAACTTTTTTTAAAAATATTTTTTTTATTTTATTTTATGTGTATGAGTGCTTTGCCTGCATGTGTGTAAGTGCACCACGTGTGTACACTGCAAAGGGCAGAAAAGGGCGTTGGATCCCCTGGAAGTGGAGTTATGGACAGTTGTGAGCTGGGGTGCAGAAGCTGGGAACTGAACCTTGGTCTTCTTACAGAGCCACAAGTGCTCTTAACCTCTGAGCCATCTCTCCAGCCCTGGAACCTAAGTATAATGTATCTAGATGAGGAAGAGTATCCTAGCACTGTATGATGCATGTGGTAGAATTAGGATTAGAATAAAAATCTCCTTGTGTAGTAGTAGGAATAATAGACTTAATAGAATCTCTGGATTGCAAGTTATCTTTAAAGGACCCCCAACTCCAACAAGTTAACTGATAAATGAATACCCTAGTAACATAGTCTTACCATTCAATGAAACCAAAGAACTGATTGTATTAATGAATCCAGAGGAGGGTATAGAGAGACAGGAGAAAAGGAGACTAGACAGTGGATACAAAGTTAAAATTAGAGAAGATGTCTGATGTCGTTACACAATAGAATTAAATAGTTAAAAAGTTAAATGTGTATTTCAAATAGCTGGTTGATCAACAAAGAAATGGTTAAAAGTGAGAGGTAATAGACATGTTAATTAACCTAATTGGAGGATCATTGTATAATATGCACACACTGGAAAAGATTAAAAAAAGGGGGGGCTACATTGTACCCCATAAGTAAATACAATTATTATGTATCAATTTAAAAGTAGTTCTGTCTTCTAGCAAAGCACAGAATATACAGTGTAATGTTTCTCCAAGTTTGACCCATGGACCACCACTGGTAGCTGACTCCATCTACCTCAGAACGGCTGAATCAAAATTTCTGTGGTAGGGCCCAGGAATTTCCCTTTTTCTTTTTTCCAGTTATTTTTAAAAATTAATTTGCTGGTCGTGGTGGTGCAAGCCTTTAGACCCAGCACTCCGGAGACAAAGGCAGGCAGATCTCTGTGAGTTCCAGGACAGCTGAGGATACAGAAAGACCGTGGCTCAAAAAGACCACAAAATAAATAAATAAAATTAATTTTTTGGTTTTTAATTTGAAAAATGGAAATTTGACAAGGAAATTCCATTCTTCCTCTCGGTACATGTCCAAATGTTTGAAGATAGTTTCCTACGAAGTTTTTATTTTTCTTTATTTATTTTTGGTCTTTTGAGACAGGGTCTCTCTGTAGCCCCAGCTGTCCTGGAACTCATTATGTAGACAGGGCTGGCCTTGAACTCACAGAGATCCGCCTGCCTCTGCCTCCTGAGTGCTGGGATTAAAGGCGTGCACCACCACACCCGGCCCCCCTTTTTTTTAAGGATGAAATTATTGCTTTTAGCTTTTCTCCATATATCTATTCTTTTAGTTCCTTTACTATCCTGGAATTGAGTGTATATGAACAGATTACAAATTTATTTATGTACTGTGTTGAAATCACTACTTTCTGATTTGCTATCAACCAACATCCTTTAAGTGCTTTATACAAAGCAATCTACTTATATATTTAAATATCTAAATATGAGTTCTGTTTACACCATTAATTTTTTGCTGTTGTCTTTGTGAGACTGGGTCTCCCTGTAGCCAGAGCTGGCTTGGAGTTCCCTATGTAGACCAGGCTGGCCTCAATCTCAGAGATCTCATTGCCTTTGTCTCCCACATGCTGGGAGTAAAGGCGTGTAACACCACACCGACAACACACTATTAAATTTTATCATTACCTCAGCTTTCCTGGACTTTTAGAGGAATTCTTGTTCTTTCATCGGAATAATTCGTTTTCTCATCAAATTACCATCCACAAATTTGAACAAACCTTCCTTCTATTTTTGTTCCTGCCCAAGTTATTAGTTAAAATATGGAAAGAGATTAAGGACAGAAGGAGTAACACTATGTTCTTGAATCCAGTTTTGATTTCTATGTTTGCTACTGTGGTTTGTTTGTTTGGGTTTTGCTTACTTGTTTGGTTTGGTCTGTAAAGGTAGCCTTGCTGAAATTCAAATGGATTAAGTCTGGTGCCTCTCTCTAATATACCTCCTGAGTTACTTTAAGGAGGACTATTTAGATGTGTCTTGTTTTACAGATGCTTGCTGAGTCCTAGGGATTATTTTTTACTCTCTCCAGTGTCACACTATTTAATAATCTATTCTAAAATTGTGTCCATGTCAAATAAATCAAGCTCACCATCTTTAATGTGTAGAATTAATAGCATGAATCTTTTAACTTTTAAAAACTCTATTGAGAGCCGGGCGTGGTGGCACATGCCTTTGATCCCAGCACTCGGGAGGCAGAGACAGGCGGATCTCTGTGAGTTCAAGGCTAGCCTGGTCTACATAGTGAGTTCCAGGACAGCTGGGGCTACAGGGAGACCCTGTCTCAAAAAGACCAGAAGAAAAAAACAACCTCTACTGAGAATTTCATATATGCATATAAGGTGTTTTGATCAAATCCACACCTACTCCCTCCCCTCCAACACCTCCCATATACTTTCTTTTTTTAATAGGGCTTTTTGCTACTCTAACATTCCCCCATCTGAAGAGGTAACTCTAAAATCTTGTAGGGATTAGATAAGAGCTCCCAAATACTTTTGACATTTTTGGCCCTTGGAACATAGTGTGTTGCTAAGAGACCCAAGGACATTTTGACTTTGATTCAAGAAACTGGCTACTTTTCTTTGGGGTCTTTTTACCCTAACTGCCTAACCAATTCCTATCTCCTATTCTGATCACACCATCCTCTGAAAAGGTTACTCAAATTGCCAACAGGGAATTGGGACGCAGACCACTCTGGTTTCTTCCATGCTAAACAGGGACGCAGGGTGAGGTAATTGGGGTACCTCTTCAGTGGGTCTATCTAAAAGACTCAAATTCCGTAACTCTTATCTGTAGGGAGAAAAGAAAGTCCTTGACTGGTGAATAGGAGATGTGAAGGAGAAGTAAAGGCAAGAGTGGTTAGCATTACTAGTTCTAGACAGGGAACCAGAAAAAAGTCAGAACAGGGCAAATTTCAAATGTTTATATCAGAGTCCACTGGGATTTCTTGATAGCTTCCAAAAGCATCCCTCTATTGGATTCCTCCTCATTTTTCTTTTGTCTGCCAAAGCTGGACTAGAGCGTGTTGGACTCAGGATTTGTTTGCAGGCATTTTGATAGCTGTTGGAGTGGCTAGAAACAGTGTCAGTTCCCCCTCAAAGGCTTCTAGATTGGGGGAGAAAACAAATTTAGCCATCATTTTAGAACAGTAGTGGGTTATCTCCCTTAGCTACAGGTGGGCACTACAGTATTGTAGACACAGATTTGAAGTCTTACATCTGAGCAGCACTTTCTGCTTAGAAACAAAATCATCAATGAGAAATAGTTGTCTAAATAACATTTTATATGGACTTAAGCCTAATGTCTGGGAACTGTAATTCCTTGAACTCTTAAATATACTGATGACTTTACTCTTTGGTTATACTTTCCTTTTGGGTGTTTAAGACCATGCAGTTGGCCCGAATAAACCAATTTATTTTTACTCTTCAGGTCGTTGGAGGATCTGTTCCCCAGGGGTCACATGGGCTTGGGAGGAGCCCCTGGCTCCTTTCTTTTACCGGTCCCATCTATGTGAAGATAAATAAAAGGTCCTGCTTGACTGTGGCTGGCTTCACTTGGAAGCATGAAGGAAATATTTCCTCTGTGTTGACCCTCCTCTTTATAGACTGGACACTGGTTCGAGTCCATTTGGTGGGGTCTCCATGGCCTCCCTGAACAGGAGGACAGGTGATTCACCATAGTTACAGGACATTTTGAGAGATGCTCCATAGTCCCCTGGAACTTAGTTGACCTTAGAGGGCAAGGAGCAAAACATGTCCTTTAAGCCCCTCTGACCAGATTAGTATAGCCTCACTATGGCTGTTAAACATCCAGTAAGGTTAGTTCCACCAATCTGGTACTTTTAATTACCATATGAATAGCATGAATCTTTTAAAAACTAAAATATATACCCATGTCTGTTGTTGTTTCTCTTAGGACTTCGTCAGTCATCACTAACAGTGACTAAGATTTTTCATAGCATTCCAACAAATTATTCTAGACATAGACTATTAGTTAGCATTTTCCTTTCTAGTCCTATCTCCCATCCAATCCTGTCTTTTCTTATTAATGTTCTTTTTTTGTGGCCTGTAGGTGCTATTTAAGCTTTGTGTCACTCTGTGGAAAGGATAACACATGTAACTAATATGTGTTTTAAAATGGGAAATTGGGGCTGGAGAGATGGCTCAGCAGTTAAGAATATTGAGTGTTCTTGCAGAAGACCAGAGTTCAAACCCCAGCGCCCACATGGCAGCTAACAACTGTCTATAACTCCAATTCCAGGGGATCTGACAGTCTCTTCTGTCCTCCACAGGCATTGCAT